AAAAAAAAAAAAAAAAAAAAAAAGAAAAAATGAGGAAAAAAGCAAACAATATCCTGAGGAGACAATACTTCGACTGAACGCTTCGCTCCGGAAGAAAAGGAAAAGAAAAGAAAAGGGATCTGTGCTCGATCATGGGCGTTCGCTCGAGAAACGTAAGAACCAGATCCTCTGTTCTTACGTAAGACGATTGCAGAACAGACAAAGAAGAAAAAAAAGAAAAAAAGAAAGAAAAGTAGCATTATCGTATAAATGCTAACGAGTATTGAAAACTAAGAGAAGCTAGAATGACATTCCAAAATGATTTTTCCCGCGAGGAGAACGTTTTCGTACGTACGTCGTGTGTCGTCTTCGACGAGTCGCAATTTGATTCTGACATTTTCAAGCGAACCAGAGGCGAACAAATTCGATGCGCGAATGTTAAAAACGCCGGCTCGCAGGATCGTAGATTAGCCAATACTTTATAGGTCTATAGGTTTCGTTTTGCTCTCGACTATTGCAAGATCTCTGGCAGTGCGGCACAACCACGGTGTTGTAATAATTTTCCGGTGGTAATCGGGACGCGACTGCGGCGAACGCGCCATCCAATAGAAAGTGCATATTTGTCCCGTCTCGTTATATTTTATATCCAGAGGCTTGGCGGCTCTTTCGTGGATCGTTTGTATCGAACGACGCGTATCCGACGCGTACATTGTAAACGGAATAGGAAATTGCGAAACACGCGCTACTCGCGGTATTCGCGAGGACAACGAGCTTGTTCATCTGTTGCAATCTTCCAATAGGATTGTTTTTGATTATCAATCAAAAGTCTCTCCCACCTGTTATTACCTGTGTCTTACGTAGTATTTTTCTAAATGGAACGAAGACGTTCGTAAAACCTTCGAGAGGGTATCTGTACGTACAGCGTATTATTATTATCGATCATTTAATATGTATCCAAACAGGCATACTTATTGTCGGGTTTCGGCGCAATACGACGCAAGTCAGAAAATCTGTCTGTTATTCCCGAGTTTGATCATTGTTCTCTTTTTGATAAAGTTAATAATAAGAGGAAGATTTATGAAAAACGTTCTATCATCTAACGTCTGTTATGCCGGGAGCATGAAACTATTGGGGGAGTGTCGATGAATAATCGCGGTGCTCATTGTCAATGCGGAAAGCTCGTGTTTATGTTAACCAGATACATGGTATTATATTATCGGTGAACCGACGCGTGCAATTTATCGCAGACTCGATGATTTCTGCCTGATGACTTGCTTGCAACGTGCAGTGAACCCCGAGTGAGAAGAAGAATATCCAACGCATTGTCCGTTTAATGGTTTATGGATCTTTTTATACGCGACTCACCGAGTCGTTGCGCAACACAAATAAATGGGATAATCTTTATAATAATGCGTACATCTTTTCCTTCGCGACGCCGTTTGAAAGGTGTATATGCCAATTTTAATCCCCACGGCCGATAACGAAATATTCCTCGATACGGTGTTTACCTTTCTTCAACTACACTCTCATCCTCGCATTTTTCTCTCTTCCTTTATTTACAGGATAGCCACTCGAAACGGTGGATCAACGCATCCTCGCAACGTGTTCCGATGATTTCTCTTTTGTCATTGCAAACGAATGTGCATACTCTCGTACACTGAGAGTAGGCACGCGCGCAGTTTTTACGTCATGATTTTCATTTGAAGTGGAGTGCGCTGCCCTCGATGTTTCAGTCTGTCACGTAAATAGTGCAACAATTACCGCTCGCTTAGATTTCGTCCGAGAGATAGT